CGGTTGGACTTGATGATATTTGAGGTCTTGTCCATCTATAATGATTCTATGATTCTATTATTATGGCTATAATATATATTATGTTTGGTTTTATATATAAAAAGGCAAGGGCAAATGCTTGAGCTCTGGCCTGTGACTGCCAGTACCGTTAACCTGTTAGCACGCTCCGTGGTCTGAATTTGACCAACACCAGCTATCGTTCTCTTGGACAATTCTCTGGCATAGCCTGGGGGATGCTGCAGCGCAGGAGTTATTCTCCATAGTAGTGCGGCTGTGGCCACTTGCTTATAGCAGAGAGAGCGACCATATGGGCACAGGTTGTGCTGTCCCGTCTGCTCTCAGGGTTGAAGAACTGAGCCTCACATGATTTATTTACCAATATGTTTGGCATTTATTTCTCCTTTGATCCATGTTGGGTGCAAAAGCTTGAAAGTAACCTAAGTGGTAACTCTATGTTGCAAGAGGGTAGTGGAGAGAGCCATGAACTGATGATGGGTATAAACATCATACCCTGCTCTTTGTTTGTAGCTTGGTGAAGAGAGCACAGATGCTGCTGCAAAGACCAGGGAGCTTCCAGGGAGCCCAGAGAAAATTGAAGAAATCCTTGGAGGAGTGGACAGCTGGGCAGCAGAAGTTGGACACCTGCTTGGTGAGATCAGTCATGAGGGGCCTGTGGAACCTGAGATGGAGGAACATTTGCAGGTGAAAATGGAAATACAGTGCTTAAAATACTTGTTCATCAGATTCTCATCTTTCAGCGCAGATTTGTTACTGGGGCAAATGAGCTGTCATTGGTAAAGCAGAAATGAATGTGGATTTTGTGCAGTAGCCCTGGTTAAAAGTCAAGGCAATGCTAGTATTTTGATATTATTTCCCAGGATCGCTCCCAGATGAGCTATAAATGAATCTTCCGATATCAGTGTGTCCAGATGACAAGCAGGTTCCAATAAAATGCTGTTGGAGCCACTGATCAGCAGCTTACTCTTGAGTGATATTAATCACTCCCTGTCCAGCACAGCATTTGCAGCAGACTAAAACTTTGCAGAGTGGCGAGCTGAGAATTTCCCCTGGTCATACAATACTTTTTATCATCTACCCTGCAGTGCAGGGAGGAGGTTTGGGACAACTTAGCTGTATTCAAGGCTTACGTGGCAAAAACTGGAGTACTGGAAGTATTTTCAGCAGCATGCTGGGTAATCTGTGCATCTCAGCTTATAGGTAGTTGCTCTAAACATCCACAATGAACACTGATGAATTTGCTGTTACTTTTACTAGTCTCTGTCGTTTCCCATGTCTCCCTGCCAGGGATTACTGTTTCCCGCCCCAAGCAGATGGCAGGTGGAAACATGTATATATAACTCAGCAGCTTCAATGCAAAGTCTGATTTATTTTCTTCACCTGCCAGTGAAGGTGAAACTGAACAAAGATGCCAGACTTTGCGCTGGAGAAGCTGAAGCACTGTTTTATGTTTCCTTTTGCTATTTCTGCAGCAGGGCCAGTATAATCTAACAGTAGGAAGGTGACCACCAGAAGGAGTTCTTCTGTCTAAGTGCTAAAATTAAACAGAGATCTTCTTTGGTACATTAAATCCACCTACAATAACTGTGAACAAGAATTAGTGTTAGTTTAGTTTGGTTTGTGCCTTCTTGCACTATGTTTAGTTGACAGAATTCGGAGTGTGAGCCTATGAAAAGAATCTATTTATCCTTTTGTAATTGTGGGCATATGTTTATAAAATAAGCCTCATTTTGCAGTGTGGCACTTGATCGTTAAAAACAGTAAAGTAACAAAAGACACCCTGAAATACAGGCTCCAAAAATGTGACTAGTATTGTATCTTCATGTCTGTAAACAGAAGAGATCAGGTTGCTTATTACCTGTGGTTCAATAAGTCGAGATCCAGAATAAAACACTGATTATCATTAGAAGAATGCTAATTGATAACTTCAAACAGGAAAACCTGTTGAATATTCATAGATCAGAACAGCTCTAATAATGACAGTTCGTGATAAATATTCAAATATGGCACACTACTTTTGCATGCAAAATACCCAGCTGCTTCCTGCCTTTTGGTACTGAATACCACAAGAAAATCCAAGCCTTAATATGTGCTTGCTTTTGGATGACTTCACGATCAGACTCTGCATATCCGAATGTGTGCTTTGTACATTCATTTGGAAAGCTGTTTGGATGGGATAGCATGTTTGAAAGATACTTCTAATTGGCTCTGATGCAAAGACATGGGAGGTATCACATTGACAGAAAGACTGTTTTCAGCAACCAGAATCCCCTGTGGATGGCAGCAGATTTCTTTCTCTCTACACACAGATTTTGCAGTGCAATACACTGACCATAATTGGGATATAAGATTTTTACTTGACCGGATATTGACCATCCATGGTGAAGGCTTGCTTTTTCATTCAGTTCCTTTAAACAAAAAGACATAAATATTGTACAGGCTTCTAATGCTTTTCATTCAACCAGAGCTTGGCTGCAAGGGGAACCTCATGCCAAGAACAAGTTGTGGCAGCAGAAGAGATATTGCAATCCCTGACGCAAGATGTTTCAAGTCAGGTGTCCCAACAGCATTGTCACACCACTGGGCTGCAGGCACGAATTAAAGAAGCCAGAGACAAAATAGAGGTACTCCTTTTTTATTGTTATTGTACTTTATACACACAGATATCTCTAATTTTGACATTATGTGATTAGGAAGACTCCTTTTAATGCATGTAAAACAAAAAATGGTTTATACTATTGGAATCAGTGTCCTAGACTCATGCCAGGACAAAAACTAGAACATTTCAAAGCTCAATATCCCAACTTGAAAAATGTGAGTGATGTTATGAAGCAATAGCTTTATGTAATTATTGACACTCAGGTATGTTCTGAAAAGAGTCTCTTTCTTCCAAGGCTGTCATGGGTGACATGAGCAACATCTTGTTCAAATCTGAGAAGAAGCCCGCAGAGAAGGAGGCTTTGCTCAATTTTGAAGAATCCCAGAAAGAACTTGAGACCTCCATTTCAAAGGCTGTGCAACTTGTCAGTCAAAAATTAAGTCCTGAAGAATGTATTTCAAGATATGAGGTGGGTTTGTTTTCTGAACCAGCTGAATTTGATTATTTTTTAGTGCTATTTCGCATCTAAAAGTCTAAGGTACCACAGTAAGAAAAGTATCAGAAGTTGGAGGGGGTTGGGTTTGTAGCTATTAGTACTTTTCTCATTTTTTTGATTTATAACTGTTAGCGTGTATTAACTTGACAGACAGCTTGAATGAAGAAATGTAAATCTGTGTGGCAGTTTATTCAGTGCCCTGTCTTAACTTAAATTACTCCATCATCCAATCAGAACTCATCATGTTCTGAACTACAGCCATTTTTTTGCCCAACTAATAATTAAGATTCCCATCAAGAATCACATGCCTGAGTTCTTGGACAGGTGATTATAAATACTGAATCACCTCTTTTTCCTAGTGGCTAACTGGTAAAGAAAGTGTGCTATCTCAAAGTCTGGATCCCTTAAAGGGATCCTTAGTGAGGTATCAAAAATAAAGTGCCCAAAATCTGTGTTGCCTTATTTTGCACAGCAAGTCCTGGGTGGCCATGTGCTGGGAGCAGTGCCAAGCCTCACTCCAGGCCATCTCAAAGGGCCTCATCATACTGATGCAGGCCTTTCACCCGCTCTCTGACAGGCATGGGACATGGCCATGTATATTTGCTAGAAATGATGCAAAGTTCAGGGACCTTAATCTTTCTTCTTCAGTACTTTCTACTTTGGTAACTCCTAAAAGAGGAGTTACAAGAATAACATCTGCTTTTCTCCAAAAGGCATACACTGATATTGTCTGCAACCTTTTTGCAGGTATGCAAGGGTGGGGAATGCCCTCATATTCACCCATGCAAGAGCCATCACAGCCCACACATGCAATGTATACGTACTTTATGCATGGTTTTTGTATGCTACCGGTGTAATTTTATTAGGTAAATAAGCTGCATTCATTTCTGTTTATTCTTCTTTATGATGCTTTTCTTGCAGGAAGCTTTTAGTGCTCTGGACAACAAAGTTCTTGACAAATTTTTGAAAGCGGCTGAACAACTGAAAAATATTTCATGTGATCGCGAAAAGCTGGTGGTGGAAGAAAAGAGTAAAGATGTTCGTAAAAGATGGGAGGTGAGATAATAAAGGAAGGAGAATCCACTGTCTGTTCTCATTAGGCCTGGCATCTTTGAAAAACAATTTTTTTGTCACAATGTGTTCTGAGGTTTTTATTTGCTTTGTAATACTATCTCACTATCTCACAGGGATAATGTGTTTTGAATTTTGCAGGCTGTTCATCATGAAATTGTATCCTGTGTCCAGCTCATAGTAGAAAGGGAAAAAAAAAAATTTAACGCAACTTTTAAAAAAATCAATAAGCAATTGGTTAAAGAGAAGAAACTCCTAAGTATGGATAAAACCAAAGGGCTCATCAAGGAACACGAGGTACCTGCCACACTCCTTTTCTGCTCACCTGCTTCTCTTTGTGAATGCATTGTCTGTCCTTCTTGCTTTCTTTAGGTACATTATTGCAACCTGTGTTTGTGGAACAGGGCCCTTGTGCTCGGTGTTATGTAAACACAGAACAAAGAGGCCAGCCAAATTATTTCTTTACCTTTTTTGACTGCAGGTATTAGCTTCCTCACAGACTGTTGTAATTACCTCCCTGTTACATGGACGATATATTTTTTCCTTTTTTTTTTTTTTTTAAGAGAGCCTTGAAGCATTAAAAGAGATTTAACTGTGCAAAGTGTAAAAATAAGAAATTATTATGTGTTCTGTGGCTCCCTTGATTTGTTACAGTTTCATAGACAGTGTTAGGTGCCTTCAGGTGAGAGCATCTTCTCACAGTACAGTAGCCACACTTAACCTCTGTGTTTGTGCTGTATATAAATTAACCAGAGTTAGACATAAGACGTTCATGTTTCACTTGCCAGGGTGAGTCATGGTGAATTTTACATATTCCATAAGCAATGGGTTTTACACTTCGTTGCTTCTAGTATTTTCCTTCATCCTCCTCTTTGGGATGCATTGATGTGGCCAGTTTACCACTTACAACGGTAAGAAATTGCTCTCCTGATGAAATTCTGGTCTTCACTGAATTCAGTGGAGTTTTAGTCTTTGCTTCTCATGGGTTCATGTTCAGCAAATATTACATATGCAAGAGTAAAGAGAAATAAGCATTCTCAGGTGTATTCATTCTGCTCATATTTTTGTTAGATTTTTAGTGTATCTTGATTTCACCCTCGAAAGTATAATTTTTGATGAGGAATATTCTAAATAAATTTTCCAGTTCTACTTTTTCTGTAGTCAATGGGACATGTATATCCAATGTCATGTGAAGATGACTTGGGACCAAAGTAGCTAAAATTGTAGTACCATAACAAATTTCAAAATCAAGCAAGAATCAGTATAGTCTTGTGAATGCAGCTGGGGAATATGTTGCCAGAAATCCTTATTTCTTTCCTGGCTCTATTTGAAAAAGAATCGAGGGAAAATAAATGTTTCTCTCCTGGTTTGACAGCTTACACTTTAAGTGCACTCATTCGAGAAGACAATGGAAATAGAAAAAAAAAGTATGAGAATAATTGCATATCCTTATGACTTACATGAGTTTATTATATTGTTTTTCTTTGTTTAGGCCTTTTTTTCACATGAAGGCAGCCTGAAGGAACTTAGCAAGTCATTAGAAGACCTTAAAATATTGGGAAGACTATCAGAAGAAACTGTCCCAGACATACAGACACTGACTGCAGACTGTGAACAAAAGCTAGAAAAGCTTCAACAAATTGTGGCAGATACTTATACAGCCCTGCTGTCTCGTGCTGGAAAAGGACAGTCATCTAAGAAAGAGTGGGTGACTGAGTGCACGATGTGTTGTAGCTTCATAGTAATCAGATATATGTATAACTTTTGTGATATTGTAAATGTAGTACCAAGTATACTCCTATGTACATTGCTGTGGGCAACTCTACATTTAAACATTTACTATTAAGTTTCGTAAACTAGCAAGTATGATGTTTGATTCCCCTTCATCACAGCTGCACTGGTTTTAATTGTTAGCCAGGAATTCTTTTTTTCCATTTGTATTTCATATTTTGTTCTTAAGCTGAAATTTCTTTTAAACCATAGGAACTCCATTGTTGCTTCTGAGAATGGAGAAAAGCCTGGTTCTTCTCAACAAATTAGTATCATTTCGGTACAAGAGGTGAGAAGTCCACACTTACTTTTAGAAAAACAGTGCTCTGTCTAGGGGAGATCATTGGCAAAAGGAAAAACTGATTATTTCTGTTACTGTTCTTATTGTGGTAGGAGCTCAGGCCTCTGGTCAGACATCAAAAACTCATTGTGCTTGGGAACGTAGACTAGGTAAATATTAAAAAGTAACATGCAAGGAACAGCACTGGGCATCCTGAGGAGATGTGAGCGTCCAACCTTGCATTATATTTTGCTAAAGAGTGAGTTTCAGCTGGAAGAGTGTGAAGCTGTGTTCCAAGTGTAAATCTGTCATAGCGTCCCAGTAATTTGAACAAGTTTCAGAGGGCACAGAGAGGAAAAATAGTGAAGAATTGGAGGCATTTGCTTTAGAAAAATACAAGGAAAACCAGAACACATGTAACTACTTAGAAATAATTTCAGAGAGACAGGATAACTGCAGTTCATAATTTGGATGCCACAGAAGGTCTCTCATTTAGGATAAACATTCATGCAAGTAAGGCTGCAGACATCTCATCAGACAGCCTCCGGACATTGAAGATATGTAGGAATTGGCTATTATTGAGGAAGATCTCTTGTAAGGCTACTAATATTGTCCCTGATAGAATGATGAAATCTGTTCTCTCATGGATAATCAAAGTAAAAATTGTATAACTAACATCAGCCAGCCTCAAACTGAGAAGCAGAATATATCCTGGGATCAAGGGCAAAAGGCATGTGAAGGCATCTGGTATAAGCAGCCTGACAAAAGGTGCAGAAGACACTGCCTTGTGGTTGCTCAAGGATGTCCACAAAGCTGCAGCAAAAATTTGCACAAGTGGATTGTGCTTGCCAAAGACCCAAGTATCTGTGGAAGGAATGAATGACCTGGCTGCAAGTGTTCAAAAATTTGCTCTTTTGGTTCATGATTGAGATTAAACACATCTTGTATTCATGAATGGTATCTCTCATTTCCTTTGGGATACATGAAGCAATTGCTTCTTTCTGAACTTCAGAGATTTCTGTTAGTCTTCAGTATGTATTGACACAGCATGATGCAGAGGTCATTGTTACCTTTTTTTATTTTTACTTAGACCTCAAGACCTGCTGCAGATATAGTTTTGGAACCAGATGTGAAACATCACAATGGAGAAAGCTATGCAAAGAAATTTGAGGAAAACAGTGATTTGGCCATACCAGCTTTAGTAGAGAGGTAATTTTTAAAGGATAAAATGCATGTATATTGAGATGATACTATGCTAGACATTCATAAATTAATTGAATGTATCGAACATAGGGTGCACTTTTGCTATGCAGAACTCTGTTCTTGTTCTACCACAATTTACTTAACATTACTCTGTAACCAATAAGGAAGCACTGTAAGTAGCTAAATGCTTCAAACATTAGGATTTTGTAGCAAGAACTTAGAGCTAGAAAACTTTTTCTTCTGCTCTTTTCTTGGGCCGGAAAAAGTTGTATCTGCCTTACTAATAACTTCAAATATTGCAAAATAAAAAAAAGTGTCTCAAGTTTTTAAAGAACTGACATTTTTGTGTTCTTAAAACTGAATTTAGAGAATGCAGGCAGGCATTCACACTTGAAAATTAGCCAGGTGAGCAATTTCTCAACTCTTTTATATGTTGCTCATTTACGCCCATTCATTTGGGACTTAGGTAAAAATATGCATTTGCAATAGACTGTGCTTATTTTATATGGCAATCTATTGGTCAGCAAGTCCCAGTCCCTGCCATGTTCCACTAAATTAGAAGTAATATTCTCTCTGAAAGTGATTGCATCTTTCTCTAGCTATAATACACAAAGAAGTAACCTGGAGGAACTTCTGCAAATCAGCAGAGATAAAGTAGCATCTGGCTTTACTGATGAAATAAAAGGCACTTCATGCCTTCAGAATAAGCTGCTTGAACTACAGGTAAGTATTCATCTTTTAAAAACATACTTAATGTCTAAATTGTTACTTCTTCATGTAGAGCCCTCACCTCTCTGTGTTATGTGTATTGCCAAGGGAAAAGGAACATCCTTACAACCAGATTTATTAGAAGTAGAAGGGAGAATGGGGGTTTAGCATTCAGCAGAACTGCATTCCTACTTAGCAGTAGAGTTTTGCAAGTATTACTGAAAGAAGAAATTGGTGGCTCTCAGTTTGTGATCTGCAGTCTGAAGTAGGTCTAATAGAAAAAATAACTACAGGATGCAGCTTTTTCGTCAGCAGATGTGCTAAGTGCTGGACCATGGTCAGGGCTGGAGGAGTCATCAGAGTTGAATGATCAAATGGCAGTGGCGTATGTGCAGAATGAAACGGTTCCAGGATGTATAACTTGATTAGGTTTGTGAGAACCTTAAGGGGATGATAAAAGGCACGTAATTGATGTTGGAAAATTTATTACTGCAATTTTCAAGTCCGTGCTTGAAAGGAGTACAAAGGTTATCTAGCATCTCAGAACTTGGTTCAGTTCTACATTTGTTTTTTGTTCTTTTGAACATAATTAAATTGAGGTATTTTCAGTTCATTCTTGTAGTAAAAATGGATGAACCATATTTATTGAACCTTTTATAAAATGTAGCCAATGTATACATATCTGACATGTAAATTTTCATCATAAAAAGTTGGTAGAGATTTGCATGCAGCTAAAAATGGAGTCTTAAAAGAAAAAGAAAGCAATAGATACTTTCAGGTAATGTTTTCACTTTTTCTGCAGACACGCTTGTGACTGTAATTTTATGAACTGTCTAGTCCATTAAGAAATACAGTATCATATTAATGCAATTAATGCTGCATATCTTTTAGGCGATAGAGAGTGAAACCAATTCTGTTTGGACACAATTGGAAAACATCTCCTCTACCCTAGAAAATCTTGTCGATGAAGTGCAGCAGGCTGCTATCTCTGAGACCAAAAGCAAACTAAAAGGAGAATGGAAAGAGCTTCAGGATATTATAAGTACCAGGTATAAAATAAAAATTCATTATGTTAGCTAAGGAATAGTTCATTATAACTGATGTGTGTATATTGTGAAGGGAATAGTGTGCATTACAGAAAATACCTGCACATTTTTAACCTTTTTAAAAAATTGTATAAAATTAAGTTTTTCTTAATTATATTTGGTTCATGTACATGTTGCAGATAATGTGAATCTCTTCAAGAAGCACAGAGCCATATCTTTGTAACATCACAGTGCAACATTCCCAAGTTTACTGATATTTCCTTCAACCTTTTGGTTAAATTCATTGGGATTCACACTGCTTTTCTTATTAATCAATGGAAAAACTCCTTTGACCTCAGAAGGAGGAAGATTAAATCTGTTAGACAGTCATTTACATTATCTTTGTGGTTTTTTGTGCTGTAAAATGTTGAGTGTCTTTTCTTGCCTGCTTTCCAAGTTCATGTTTTGTTACCTTTCTTGTAGAACAAACTCTTTAAGGACTGCTTTGGAAATTGTTTTGCCAATAGAAAATGAATCCATTCTTCTATGTGAATTAGATCAGCGGCTAAAGAAAAAGGATGTTCAGCAGTTTAATCTGATGAATAGTGATCTTGCTTATAGGGAACTAAAGGTAAGGCAAAATGCAGAGACCACACCCTAGCCAGAATATTTTTTGATATGTCTAAGAACTAGAGAACGTCATGGGATTTTCACTCAGGAGTTGGGGACCACTCACAAGACTTCCCAAACATTCTAAAGACTATAACAGCATTTTACTCTGTTTGCTTTAAACGTCATTGTTCCTGTATAGCCAGCCTCAATAGGCTCAATGTAAAAAGCATCATCGTGAACATTTTGTCTTAGGTTAAGACTTTCCTTTGATCCAGATTTCTACTGTTCCCACCTGGCTTTATGACACTTTGTGGAATCATACACATGATACGGTGTTAGTTTGTGAGCTAAGCTAAGCTGCCTTGTGTCACATCTGCTGAGGTACCTGAGCACACCTCAAGATGTTTTTGGAAGCTTTGCATGTATGCAATAACTTGTTCACCTGCTGTCAATAACTTGAGATTTTTAAGTGCGTGTAAGTCTCCTCCAAAAGTATGGCGTAAACGACTTAAAAGATGACTGAGTAAGAAACATCCATGTGCCCGCCTGTGCTCTGAGTGATCTCCTACTGCAAGACCCTGCTGGTTTCAGTCCCAGGAGTCTCATCATCTTTCTCTCCCTTTTGTCTGATTGCTAGAAAGACGCTTGGGCTGTCTGTAATGCTCACCAAATTCCCTTTGTGTGGAATACCATTTTATTAAATTTTTCTTCTTTTTCCTTCCCTCCACCAAAGTCCAGACCAGGAAAAAAGAGATTTTTCTTTCTTAACCAGCCTGTTTAGAATACTTAATTTATTGCGAGTGTAATTTGTTTTTCAGTCATAGGTTCATCTTGAATGCAGGATACAGGTTTTCTTTCACTTGTTAACACTGTTGGTCATTCTCTGAATTTCAGGAGCTACAGAGATCTATATTAAATCAGATTGAAGTGTGCAAACAATTGGAACACCTAGACAGTTCAGCAAGAGATGAATTTAATCCAATAGATCTGCAAGCTGCAAGTAAAATTATGATTTACTATCAAAACCAGCTTGAAGAAATGAGCCATAAAATGCAGATCCGCGAGACAGTCCTTAAGGATCTGGAAGCTTTTATGGCCTCATTGAGGAAAATTCAGTCTTCCATCAAATGTCTCACAGATCCCTCGACTCAACCTGAAATACAGGGAAAAGCATTGAGAGAGACCGCACAAGAAGTTTCTCATATGGCAGAAGAGGCTAAATGTTTGGATGAACGCTTGAAAACAGTTGATATCTGTTTGGAAGATGCTGAATGTGGGAGAAAGATTTGCTGTGAAAACCTTGTTCTGACTTTATCTGAAGAGCTAAATGAGACTTTTGATCCCTCTCGTGAACAGATGATTACAGAGGAAAAAGATTTATACAAGATTTTTTCCAAAAAAAATGGTGAACTCCTTAAAAGCATTCAGGATCTACGTGACAGAATTAACAAAATAGGCTTGAAGGATCCAACAATTCCAGCTATTCAGCAAAGGTGAATTCTTTTTTAAAGCTCTTTTAATTTCATAATTTCAGTGAATGCAGAGGGCCTGTGGCCCCTTTGCAGTGGAGCACTGAAACCTGAATGTGTCTTGAAGTATCTGTGGAGCATTGAAAGAAGCTGTGGACTTATGTCTTATTTGTTCTGTCACAGCCTAAATAAGGAAGCATTCTCCAGTTTTTCTTTCCATTTAAACTCCTATGTATGTGTTTGTTTGAAGCAGCATTGATGAAGAAAAAAATAGGAGGATGTTGATTGTTGTGATCTTAGTTTTCAGTAAGAAAACTGTCAAACAGGGAGACAGGTCTTCTTGCTCAGCACTGATGCATGTGATCTGAAACTCTGCAGTGTAGAAGCCTTGTATTACTTTACAACACCCTGAGAAAGCCACTAACATGATTTGTATGTCTCCGATACTTTTTCAGAGGAGCTCTTTACAGCCTTGCAAAGGATGAATAAACAATTCACTACTGTTTATGCAGAGGGAAAAAGGGAGAGGAGAGGAGCTTATGAGCTGTGACCATTTTTTAAGTTGTGAAATCCCACTCTATGGCATAGCTTCCCTTCTTAGACCGTATTTTGAGATAGCCAGAATGCACTTACCTTTTAATACAAAATAATTCACTGTGTTCATACAGACCCTATTGGCCTTTAGGATTTTGGATTACTTTCTCAAAGGGCTTAGGTCAGCATAACTGAAATTATACGAACTGAAGATCAAATTAGACTTTTTATGATGTCATTTAATACAGTCAGTATGTGCAGCTCAGGATGAATTTCTAGGGAACTTAATAATTACATTGGGAAAAAATCAAAGACTTTAATATAAGGCTGTATTTCATTTTTTTTTCTAATAAAGAATAAAATCATTAACGGAATTGGAAAAGGAATTGGATTGTACTGCTGTTGAAATGAAACCTATGCGAGAAATTGCTAATAAGCTCCCACAGATCAAAGAGGAAAAAGCAGAGGAAGCAAATGAACAGTGCAGAGTTACAGAGAGGTTACGGGAGGATACAAAACTCTTGCTCGCTGAATGGTAAGGAGAAAAGCTACATTTTAAAATAGTATTGTACAAGTAAGAAGCTTGCTTTTAAAATGAAACAGCAAAAAAGCCTTGGATGATACTTTAAAGTAAATGAAATACTGATACAGCAGCAAATGATACTATTATGATGCTGTAAACTATCATAAAGCCAAGAATTTTACATAGATGTTTGCAGCCAAAGCTCATGAATTTTATATATTTTTAAGACATCACATTTAGCAGATATGCAGTGATGTGTTGGACTAATTGGTACCCAAAAGAAAAACCTGGCTGTTGCTGGGAATGATGTGTCATCCATATTTGCTGTGAATTTCATGCCAGCACTTTCAAAAAGAAAAGTCAAACTAAAACAAATTGAAGGGACAGCTGGGAAAACAGTCTCTTGTGCAGGAAAAGACTAAAGGGGCTTGGTTTGATAAGTCTGAGAGTGAGGACTGGGAAAGGCTATGATTGATCAGCCAGGGCATCTGTCCTTCTCTTACGGTTTTTAAAGATGCCTAGAGGCTTTGCATGGACTGGCAGAGTTCTGGTTAATCCTCATGGCTTGCACAGGTGTCAGTGGGAGTAATGTGGTTTCATATCCCACTGAAAGCTGGGCTGAGCTAGTTTTTCCCCACTGTCCACCACCCAAGGTGTTGTGCTATCTACTGCACTTTGTATTTCAGTTTACTGGTGACTGAGCTCACCTTTCAGGTGGAGAGTATCATATAAACGGAACTGCTCAGGTCACATCACAGTTAAATGTGGATCAGAGGCATATGATGGTGCAGGGCATTTCTGATATTGAAAACTGTCCAAATACCACACCAGGTATCACACGGTATCGTAGGGTTTTTGACTGGTGCAGTTTATCACCCCTTTTCTCTCTTCCAAACATAGTAGTCAAACTCCCCACGTGTTTGAATATAGGAGAAGGAAGCAGACAAGAGGTTGAGGCTGCTGGTTTATGCTTAGGCCATAAATAATACATCTCTCTTTAATAGCCAGGAGCAGTGTGCAAGGGCTCTGGAGCTCCTGAAGGAGTATCAAAGCTGCAAAACTAGTCTGACCAGCATCATCCAGAAACAGGAGATTGTGCTTTCACAGCAAACTTCTTACATGGGGAAGGAGAATTTGAACAGACTAATAACAAAGGTGAGTAACAAGAACTTACTGAAAAGGAAAGAAAAGCCTTTCCTGGGAGCATTTGGGTATAAGATTGCCCTTGTATGCTTAACCTTCAGGGCAAATGTTAAGACCTTGCTTTCACTTTGGCTTCCAAAATACATTTAGGGACCATACCCTGCTTTTGTTTAAAGTTGATGTCTAGTTTTACTTAGTGAATCAAGATCTTGTTAAAGGGATGGGATATAAAAAAAACCCAAACAAAACCCATAGAAAAACTATGATGTAGTATGAAAATAAGATGAAATCCTGTCCTATGAAAACCACATGTTGCAATCAGCCATATTCACCCATACCCTTTAGAATATTTCCATATTTTCTACCAAGTTAAAAACCTTATAGTGGGCAGCTTGTAATTATACAAAAATAACAAATTCATTTGTTACTAAGAAGATACTTTAAAATGTTGTGCCACTTAAAGCAAAAATAATAGGTAATGCAAGTCCTTGGGGCTGCTTGTTTCTCGGCTATCGCTGTAGCTCATAACCAAGAATTTAGATCCATATCCTCTCCTTGCTGATGTCACTGGGTCGCAGGCAGGGATGCGGGGTTTGTCTGTACCGTGTAGTGCTGTGCAGAGATCTGCTAGCCCCAAGCAAGCAGGATCAGGAACAGGAGCCATAAGGCTGTGTCAGTGTGGCACATCTGCTCAGAGACTGGGATATGACAGATCTATCCTGCTACCCAGCCTGTGTACCTCTCTGTATGTCATTGCCACCACGCTCAGAGACAGCTTGGGGATTGCCAGTATGGTGCTGCCTTGGGATGTGGACTTCTGGAGGCCAAAATGGTTTTGATTGGGCTGATGATACAGTATTTCCTTGAGCTGCTTACATTTGCAGCATGCATCTCTGCCCTCACACTGACTTTGCTGTCCAAACTGTGTTGCAGTTAGAAGCCATTAACAACATAGTTCGGTATTTCTCCTCTCATTTCTCCTATGTTACAAACCTACTTAGAAGGCAGACCTTCTGTATAAGCGCCTTGGCGTCCGTAACTGACATTTGCTCCATGCCGTCTTTGATAGCAGGAAAACATTTGCAGCAGCTTTTACATTAGCTGATGAGACTGAATAAGCAGGTATTGCTGGACACCCCCTCATTTAGTTTAAAGTTGACTGCTTTTTCAGGCAAAAATTTGACAGCCAGCTATATTCTTCTTGGCTAAATGAATACAACCACTGGACACAGTTGTTCGTGGCTAATGGATTAGCAAACAGCAGGATGTCCGTCGTGACCATTTTACTGTACAGGTTTCATGTTTCCTGGCTGGGTTATATAGCTGGTTGTTCAGATCCCATTTTTAGGCTTTCTGATGAGACATCACCCATAAATTCAGCACCACTTACTCTCAGGCAGTGCCTGGGATAGTTGAATTTAGGAAGGAATGTAAGCAGTTTCTTCCCTCAGGCAATATGCTGATGTCTGTGTGTGCCACCCCTCCTTTAGCTGAGGCGAGGTCTTTTCTTGGTTTCACCGGTGAGACTTCTGGCACCTCATATTTGTCAGGCAGCTCCTGCTGCAGGGGCGATTGCCTTCATCCCCCCGCCCCTGCTTGTATGGAGACCTCGCTCTCTGGTAACAACCCTTCCTCCTCACCCTGAGTTTTGCAATTCCCACTCTCAGAATGTCTGCAGTAGCTGTCGCACAGTACGGGCGTGTCCTTGAGCGCTGATGATTTGTTATTTATAATTATATAAAACAGTGGTAGAGAAGGTTCTCTGACTTGTTCTAGTTTGTGGGTGCTGCTCTGTCATCCCTCCCCTTATCACAGTAGCTGGCAGTATCTATATGAGAAGATGTGTAATGCTTGTCTGTGGGAAATAAGGAGAGCTTTTAATATCAAATTGCCTAACACTAGAGGTCGGTGTTTCTTTTCCAACGAGCTTCCATGTTGTTTGTAAACAATGACATTACAATTAAGCACAAAGAAGCAGTCTAGTATTTAAATAGAAAGTAGGAAAATGGGACGTTTCTGTTTCTGGCAAAGGCATATTTGACAATGGCTATGTTTAAGTAGGATTTAAGCTTTTTTTGAAAAGTAGTTCAAAACCTAGGGATGAGAATGCCAGGTTATATTTTTTAGAGTTGTAATAGTTTCTCAGATGATTATTACATTGTACATTGTTTATTTCTGTAGCCGAGGTTCTGCGTATGGATGTACAGTCCCCTTGGATCTTGTGATTACAACTTTTAAAGCAAACTGTGGTTTTGGCTGTCTTAGTCAGAAATACACTATCTACAGTTCCCACGCAGCTGTTTTGCATCCAATACAGAATGATACGGATTTCTAACAGGGAAATTTTCCTATCAGCATGATAGGCATATCACAAGAGAAGATACAGTCCTAGTCTCATCATAGTATGTAAAATAGATTGTTTTGTGTAGTGCTGTTGTTTCTCTAAACTAAAAAGAAGGGCACATCAGTTAAAAATGTTTTACTGAATAAACAGTCATAAAGAAACACACTTGTAAACATCCATTTGGTCTTTTTCACAGATTGAAGAGGCAAAAGAGGAATTTAATGATCATTCTGAAGATGTAGACAAAATAAATCAGATCTGCAAAAACCTTCAATTCCAGCTCAATAAAATGAGAAGCTTTGAGGAGCCTCCGTTTGAGAATGAGGCTAACATTATTGTGGACAGATGGCTGGATGTATGTAAAAAGTAAATTATCAGGGTGGTCTTATCTGTTATGCATTATAGTAATTGATTCTGACGCGTGTGTAATATTTGGAATAAATTAAGTGCAATATGGCAAAGATTCTTAAGAGATAAATCCAAGTGTTTACCAGAGCAAAGCTTGCAGAGTATCTATTGGCATAATGCTTCTGATCTCTCAGGTAGTTTATATCATGGGTACTCCTTGAGAGTAAATAATTCTAGGAAATGCAGAAAGGCAGTCTTTATGCTTTCTGCATGAATCTGTAAGCTTCCATAACAACTTCTGTGGATTTAGACTTTGGAGTCAATCTGGAGAATTACAATGCTGGTGCTTTTGGTGAAAATGTTTGCCGCTGTCGATCTAAGCAGTGCATCAATACTGAGATTAGATAGTATTTACTGAGAGTAGATAAACATTAATGAGCAAGGCTCCTTCCTAAACCTGCCTTAAAACTGGCAAGCTGCCATTGTGATTGGTATGTTTGGCGACATGTGTGGCAGGGATTTAAATATCTTCTCCATGACCAGTTCACTGTGAAGACACATGAGATTTTTTTTTTTCCCTTGCCGCACTTGTTTTTCTGCGTGGTCTCATCTCGCTTTGATTTTATTTTGCTGCTTTTGCTTTTAGAATGTAACTGATTATTTTTTAAATCTGTGTGTGTTTTCTGTATATAAATCTCATGATAGATCAATGAAAAAACAGAAAACTATTGTGACAATTTGGGAAGAGCTCAGGCTTTGTGGGACAAGCTTCTTAGTTTATCTGGCACAATTGACGCTTGGGCAAATGCAGAACTTAAGAATGCGGAAGGCCATTGTCTGACCGAAGAGGACCTTACGCAGTTGAAGGTAATTTGAATGGAAATTTTTTACCTTTAACTTATACTGTAGTGATATGGACTTCGGACTACAAACATGCACCTCGCATAGAAATATCAGCACTGCAAAAGCAGAGGAAGTTGTAACATTTGCGATTATATCCACATGGATAGTTTCACTGAAGATAATGCATAATGTATTGGGGATACAGGTGTTGGAAGCTAATAAATAGATCGCATATATGTATACCAAATTGTTTTAAATTAATGGAACACTGTAAATTCTGCTTTAGACTACAAAAGCCCCCTCATTCATTTGTGCTGTGCAAACATACAGCAAAGAGAAGGCCTGGAAAGCTTGTAGTCTACAGTACAGTGGTGTACATCTTTCCTTGTGCCTAGAGCAAAAAGGGAAGAGAGTGCGTATGGGCTAATGATTAGTTTTCTAGTTAGAAATTACGTATCAGTGAAGATACTGGAGCCTCAGAAATGACTGGGCAATGCATAGTTCAAGAAGAGGTGGCAGAGGTGGCTTATTTGCTCCTGCCATCCTTGTCCTGGTGTGCTCCCCAGTGTAACTTAAGGCAGCCCCTTAATAGTGGCTGGCTGCTAAGTGTCTCCAGGGGCTACACACGGGCAGACATCAGCAGAGCCTGGGCTGCCCATGCCCCTTTTGCATAGATTATAGCATTAACTCTTGGTATTGGGGTGCAGTTAGGTGTAAAAACACATGCAGTAGCTCTATGCCATTGAAGAGCCTCACATACAGGGGTAAATATTTTAATTTTTGACTTTAGGGCCATAATTGACCAGCTGCGCTACTTCGCTTTGGTTATAGCCAGTATCTACTAAACAAAAATGATTTCCTGCTTGAGTGGGGTTGAGACATAAATATATCCCATATCCACTTGTTTGAAAATATGCAGGCGGTTTTTTCTCAGTGTTTACTTGCTGCAAATGCCCTGTTTTTTATTATGCTTATTTGCAGCATTACTGTTAGCACTGCTCATTTGTTTTAATTTGCAGAGCAGTAAAAAGCCAAGATGTTCTTTGTATATAGATCTTCCCAGTGAAACAGTAGTATACATGCTGCGCAGAGGTGGATATTTTGTCACATTATTATGGCCTTTACCATTGTATTGTTAGAATTTACCTGAGGTAGTTCAGGTCCCTGAGGGCTCCAGTAAAAATGCACCAGCTGGCAACTGCCTCTAAAGAGCCATTTTGTTACCCGGAAACTGCTCGAGCCCAGCATGATGTGCCCGTGCCCCTGAAGTGCCTCTACGGGTGTGTAGCACAGCCGCCTCCAGCACAGCCCTTCCTTAGGTTCCTCTGCTGCTCCTGTGCGAGAGGGTAATTCTCAAAAAGAGAGGGGAGGAGAGAGTAAGGGAGAGAGAAACCATGTTTCCCATGAGCTCTATAAAAGTGGAATAGGAGGAGAGAAAACTGAACTCAGTGCATTGGTATTTTTGTAAAATGATTTAAAGTGCAGAGAACGTCAGGTTCATTTATCAATTTATTATTATTTCTTTTGTTGTTGATCCTGAAACATCTCTACATTAATGTTTTTACCGAAAACACCCCAACTGTTGCAATGTTTATCATCTTATATAGGATTGAAACCCAGAGTCCTTTGTGACCGCCCAGGAGAGCACCAATGCACGTGCTTTCAAGAAGCCTGTCACAAAAGAACAGAGTAATGAATTATTTGACTGTATATTTAAAAATAATTCCATTCTAAATAATGTGAGACAAGTTCTGCTTTCCCCTGTAGCCAGTATGGAAATGGGAAATCCTTTAAGGGCTGCAGCATGTGAATGGGTTTTGTTAAATTTATGCTAGATTTGCATTAGCAACTGCTATGCGTGAGAAACACAGAGTGTTTCTGACTCTAATACAAAAAAAAGTCTAAATTGCTAAAATGAAAATCAGGAAATGGACCACTTGTAGGTGCTCTATATGCCAAAATGCAGAATCAGAATATTAGTTACATAATTTTTTAGAAGAAACATGGAAATTTAATCTGTGGGGAAATACAGTTACCAATGTGTTTTTTCCACCTTTAGGCATGCTTTCGAGTCCAAGAGCAGAAACTCCAGAAATTTGACAACACAGTGGCTGAGATCGAAGAACTTCTGAACAGTAATGAAACTCCACTGGAGCTACAGGTACAAAGAAACTTTTACAGCTAATATGCCAGTACTCATTACTACAGCCCTACTTCTAGTATTGTCTTTGCCACAGTCATTTCTTGATTTGACTTAAATCTACCCAAAGAGAATTGGAGGCATTTTGTTGGCTATTAGCAGTGACATTTCATTTGTTGTTTTTCTCAAGCTGTTAGAACCAAACCTGTCATTTTAAACACAAAGGCTTCTCTCAGTCCTGTGCCTTTTAGGGACTTAGACCTGACCCAACTGGTTTGCAGGCTTGCCGAATGAGGCCAATATCAGTGATGTCTGGCTTTTAGCTATTGGCCAAGAACAAGGCACAATGGATCTCGTCATCCCTTTGGGGATCCTAGCAGCTCAGCGTGCTGACTGTCTATTTTGAACTGTACCTTTACCTGGATATGGCTTAACATAGTTTGGTAGTATGTAGCCATTTGCATAGAGTGGTGTTTACCGTGATGTTTTCCTTTGGGAGATCACAAGGAAATCTTAATCTTTTTGTGTTAACTTCACAAAGCAAAGAATAAATCCTTCTCCACTGGTTGAGACCACATTAGCCTACCTTGATCCTATACCAGTTCCCTAAGTATCCACTCCCAGTGTCTGTCAGATGGACCTTGACCTTTACCCAGTTTGGTTGTTTGTGTGTTTGGTTGTTTGTGAGTTGCTGTCTCATGCAAATCTGCAGAAGCCTTAAGGATAAGGTCAAGGACCTGTTGCTCCTTAGTGACTAGTCTCGAGTCAGAGTCCCTCACCTCTCTGCTGTCATTGCCAGTTTTTTGGATCGATGTGGGGAATTCACCCCAGTGGGATCACTGCAGGGTGGTGTGTTACAGAGAGAGCTGGCACCCTCTTTTTCATAGTAGCCAAAGCGCATGTAAGGCCTTTATCTAGCTGAGAGCAGACTGACAAATAAATTCGTTAGTAAAGCAGCACCAGTAAACCAGCTAATAAAGATGAACTGAGATCATTCCTCCTCAGAAAAGCAGGGCTTAAATACTGTTATTTTTTAATTTGTGGAGTGGGAGGGAAAGAAGCTGGAACAAACTGTGATTGAAATGTCTGAACTTCAGATCGTTTCATTGCTTTTTGTGTCTATCATGGAGTTCTGTAACGTTCTAGGAAATCAATCCAGTATAATTTCTTCCGTATGTTTATTTCCAATTTTAAGGTCATCAGATCATCTGTTGTGCAAAAAATGGAGCTAATAAAAGAGCTCTTGTCAACGAAGCGAGGGACCAGTGAACTCAGCGTGAATACAGCAGAACTAAAAGGAGACCTTGATCTGGCCAAGACACAGATTGGAATGACTGAATCACTTTTAGAAGCTTTATCTCCTTCTGACACCTTAGAGATATTTACTAAATTAGAGGTAGCGTGCCACAAATTACACGTCTTTTATAATTTCGTTCATTATTTCTCTCCTGGGCAAGTTTTCATAAGTGTTTCTCCTGTATATGTTGTAAACTGCTAGAATAACTCAAGTGAAAAGCCTGGCTTGAATATTTCCTTAAGCTGCCAGAAACATGAAAGAAAAGCCTGGTTTCACTGAATGTTATCAGATGTAGTTAGTTAACCCTTCCAGCTATTGGAAATGGTTAGTGATAGGCACGGCAACAGTATACCACCGAAGATATGTTGAAGCAGTAGTGGCCGTACTGGGTTGTATCTTTTCCAAGACTGGGTAATATACAGAGGTTGGTTTTGTGCCACCTGAGCCTGTCTGCAAGGGGAGCTCTGAGTAGGCAATTTCAGCCAACTTTCCATCCTCTTTGCACCAGGAAGAGAGGTGAAGAAAGAGCTGCTTCCTGCTTGGAGGTTCAAGGCTGACAAGATTTAAACCTCCTGTTGAGTAGTGAGTGGATTATGCACATTCTGGTTATCAGATCACTAGTGTTTGGAGTAGTGACATCACAGGTGTTGGAAGGAAGATACAGCTTTTGATTAATTCTCCCAGCTCCCTCTAAGTTATTTTTCAATCCACAGGGACTTGACATACATAATAAGGCATTTAGGAGTGGAATAGTGCCTATGGTGGCTAAAGCATTATAGCTTCTAGGTATTATATGGTCTGGAACATGCTATATTACTGTGCACTTCACATATCCATTCTGTGTGCACATATCTATGTCAATGTGCATGAGTGAATATATGCGTGATTATGTATGCCTACAGATGTATACACACTTCTCAAGGAGAGCTTAGTGCTTATATCTGCCTATTGATTGCCTTGTTAATGTCAATATACTTTAAGAAATTATTTGATGCATAGGCAGGACTAAACCCTTTTGCAAAACTCTAGTTTGTACTAAAGCAGCTGTGTACAGTGAACTTCTGCTTGCACTTCAAAATTTTTTTAACAGTTGTCCATTTTTTTTTTAACTTTAGGAGATACACCAGAAAATTCTGCAACAAGAACACCATGTGACATTACTCCAAGAAGAGACTGATTGTCCTGATGTGGATGAATTAAATAAGCAGCTTAAATGTGTCACTGATTTATTTAATAAGAAGAAACATGTGTTTCAAGATCACTTCATCGGTGTTTTGAACCGTAAGCAAACATATTTCACATTTATGTAGCTTTATAGGTTTGTGTCGACCATCGTAATCACTTAAAGGTTTGTGCAATTAGGTTTTTTTTGGTCAGTGTCTGAAACTGGTTTGATATCTCAAACTACTTCAGGGTTCTGAACAAGATAAAGATTTGGATAAAAATGGCTTTTGATTCCAGCAAACCACTCAATCTGAATTAAAGTATTTTGTTCCTTATTTTTTAAAGCATAATTCAGGAGCAGACTGTCACATAGTCTGTAGTGAAAAGCAACCTTTGACAGCAGCACTGATAAATGTAATTACACATTGTCTGAAATCTTCATGTTAAATAGGATTTTCTTTTACAGAATACAATTAATGAAGAAATATTGGAATGTATCTGTTTTCAGGTCAGTGCAAGAATTTTAATGACTGGTTCAGCCGCACTCAG